TGTCTGCGAAGCAACCAACATGAATTTGACACAACTCCAGGAGGCAATGGAAGACAGGAGGGCCTGGTGTGCTCTGGTCCATGGGGGCACGAAGAGTCGGACACGACTAAACAAACGAACGTGAGTGGATCATAGCAAAATGCTGTAAGCCGCCCAGAGACCTTTAGGTAGTGTGGGCGGCATATAAAAGAAAGAAAGGAAAAAAAAAAGTTCCCTGGCCTCTGAAATTGTTGTCAACTCACTGCTAATAGTGCTAATAGTAGTAGATAAATAGCAGTGGAGATAGCTAGGTGGTGGAAACTTGTTGATGTGGGGGCATGAGAGTATGTATCTGTATGTGCATTTGTGTGGATATGCTGAAGTAAGGGAAAAGCGAATTTGCACATCTGTGTGAGCTCTCATACTCTCTCAGTTGACACCAGCTTTTGAGATCTGATTTGTGCCAAGCTAATCAGGTGGTGGTGTGACTTCCTTTCACCTGTGACTGACTGGGAGGATAAGAAAGACTCCAGACTGTTGAGTTCTGCATCATTGTGAATGACTGTTCTGAAATTCAAATGGGATTCATCTATAATTGACTGTGAGGAAAAACTCACCAGGAAAGACAACAGTGCCAGGAAGAGTAGAAGATAATAGAAAAAGAGGATTTAATATGTAATTGATGGACTCAGTCAAGGAACCTGTAACCTTCAGTTTGCAAGGCCTGAATAGGCCTGTGAGCAATAGGACTTGTAGGAAGTCATTGATTCATGGGATGGCCATTAATTCAGAAGCGAATAACAGCAAAGAGTAGAGAAAATAAATGACCACGTCAAGTGTGTTCTCTTGGTTCAGAAAGATTTGTGCATATGAAGTTGACTTGGAATGATAACATGCTGAGTGAGAGAGATGTAACCCCAAATGGCAAAATAAGTGTGCTAAGTATTATTGGCAATCTCTGTGTGTCTTTCTGGCTGTAAGCAAATATGTAGATTGATGGGTGTTGTGGGTTTTCCGGGCTGTTTGGCCATGTTCTTGAGGTTTTTCTTCCTATCGTTTAACTAGTCTCTGTGGCCAGCATCTTCAGGGGACAGGAGTCGGAGACAGAGTTCTGACTCCTGTCCTCTGAAGATGCCGGCCACAGAAACTGGCAAAACATTAGGAAGAAAAATCTTAAGAACACAGCCAAACAGCCTGGAAAACCCACAACCACCATCAGATCCCAGGCGTGAAAGCCTTCGAGAATAAATATGTAGATCACCTATCCAAAATGTGATGGTACCTGATCTGTTTCATTTCCACTTCTCTTTCTGCTTTGTGTTTCTTCCTTGGGCCTCTGGATCATGGGTTTGCATAAAAATGGATTGATTTTATCATGTTTTAAAGCATCTAGTTTTCAGTTCTCCTTCTCCTGAATGAGCCGCAAATACGCTCTTGGTGACTGTATCTTCTGTATCTCCTGTGCTTGCTCCAAGCTATGGTGCTATGTATTTTGCTTTGAATGAGATGGATGCAGATTATATTTATATGCTTTCCTTTCCTATTATCTCAGACTATGGGCTTGGGGAGGAGAGGCTGAGTATTGCCATTCTGAGGGGAAATTCTTAAACATGTCATAGTATGAACCCCCACCACCCTGCAACTTGCATGTCATAGTAATGAGCCTCGTGGCGCAGTGGTTAAAACGCTGTACTGCAGCTAAAACTGTGCTCACAACCTGGGGTTCAAATCCCAGGTAGCCAGCTCAAGGTTGACTCAGCCTTCCATCCTTCCGAGGTCGGTAAAATGAGTACCCAGCTTGCTGGGGGGGCAATGTGTAGCCTGTATAATGAAATTGTAAACCGCCCGGAGAGTGCTTGTAGCACTATGGGGCGGTATATAAGTCCAAAAATAAATAAATAAAAATAGTATGAACCCCCACCACCCTGCAACTTAGTGCTCAAATGATTCTCACCTAAACAAGTGGCAACCATTTGCACAGGGGCTGACTCTTACACACTCTGTTCATGGTGGCCATTTGTGCCTCATCAAACTGGCAGGAAATTTGAATACAGTGGTGCCCCGCATAGCGACGTTAATCCGTTCCAGGATTAACGTCGCTATCCGGATTCTTCGCTATGCGGGGGGGGGAACCCATAGGAACGCATTAAACTCCTTTTAATGCGTTCCTATTGGGGAAAAACTCACCGGTAAGCGAAGAATCCCTGATCTGGCCGCCATTTTGCCGCCTCGGTAAGCGAGGCACGAAAACGCTGCAGACGGCCATTTTCCCCCAGCTGGACGGTGCTGGCTTCCGAGTGCCCGCGGTGGTTAGAGTCTACATGTCCTGGGTAGAGAGAAGACCCAGCCCTTAGTGCTGGAACCTTATAAAAAGCTCCAAAAAGTCATAATGCATGAACGTCAGATGCCCTTCAAGATTCTCTGACTTTTGCAGTTTGCTCTATTGCTGATAGTACTGTGGTTAGGTGTTCCATTTGATTAACACATCAGAATGTTGATTTTTTAAATTAAATTTGGCAGCTGTTCCTTTTTCCAGTGTTTGGTGTGGAGGCCGTTAAAGATATTTCTATTGAAGTGAAAAGTATGAAAATTATAATATCTATTGCAAGCCTTTGATAAATCATCATCTTCAAGGCTGTGTGTGCATCAGTTTCTTGTGGGTAGTTCCAAACCTATGTGCTGTTATAAATGTCCCAAATTCATGTGGCTGATGATGTAGAGGCCAGGTTAGCTACTTGGAAGGAAAGAGCTGCAACATGCCATTCTGCAAGAAATACACTTTTTAAAAAGGCAATTGGCAGAAGTTCAGAACAACATTGGATGGAATTATGTCAAACATTTATCCAGCCCCAGGAGGCCTATGAACAGTTTGTTGAAGCAGCAAAAGATTATCCCTGTTGTCTATACCCATAGAATGGAAACCCAGCTACATCCAAGGTCTAACATCAGAAATAGTAATCCAAATGAATAATTTTTCACGATTTGAACAAAATCCTTTGAGTGAATAAATCATTTTGGTTGAGCAGCAATTAATTTCTTCAGTCGCAGAAACTAAGAGAGATAACTGAGTAAAACTCATGGAAGAAATAAATATGTTTTAAAAAAACAGTCCGGAGGCCTGGAAGCTACATATTAAAGTGGCTTCACAATGACCCAGCTAAAAGGCCCTATTTATGCAGGCATTTCAGCAAATCAGACAGACCATCAACTCCTCAATGGTAGATCTGAACATCACAATAGAAAATCAGAACCTAAATTTAAAAGAAACAAGCAACTGGAACCAATGGCTTTACAAGAATATTCAAATTAAGAGAAATAGAAAAAGCTACTTGTAGTTGCAAAAACTGGCAAGGCAGCAGTCCTGGATGACATTCGTGTAGCACAGATAAAACATTTTGGCAAGTAACGAAAAAATGGCTCCTTGATTTATTTAATAACTGTTTTGACTCATTCAGGATCTTGAAAATATGGAGAAAGTAAGAAGTGATTGTTTTCTTGAAACTTGTTAGAGAACCCTCAGAGACCAAAAAATTAGCTGATCTCGCTATTTTGTCACCTTGGACCTTGACAAAATCCTGGAAAGAATGATTATTTTTAACTGTCCGATGGAGGAAGTGGAAGACCTGATAAGAATTGTACAGCACAAATCCTCCACTGAATGCAAGATTTTAAGTCTGCATTTGAAACTATGAAGATCAAAGCGTAGCTTTTGTTGATTTGTCAGTCACATATGGCACTTTA